AGAGAAATATTAGTGCGTCTGGCCTTGAGGGCGGCCGTCACCAGCCGACTATGTGAGTAGCTACATCTTTGTGCCTTTACTCGCCATACAAGCTTAGATGTACAGTTATGGTGAACAAAACATGTAAATACTTATATATAACGTCTGTATATAAAAGCAAAAACAGTATGGTGGGAGGAGAATGGTGGCAAGTCAGGTGAGGTGAGGGAGGGAGGGAGTGGCAGCCAGTGGCAGGCTGCCACTCAGTATGCCAACTTAGTGGTTAGTTGTGGTGAACACGAATGTAGATACTTGTATATAGTGTCTGTATATAGTGAATAAAAGCAAAAACCAGTATTGTGGGAGGAGAATGTGGGCGAGTCAGGTGACTTGAGGGAGGGAGGAAGTAGCAGCCACTGGCACTGCCACTCAGCATGCCAACTTAGTGGTTCATTATGGTGAACACGAATGTAGATACTTATATATAATGTCTGTATATAGTGAATAAAAGCAAAAACAGTATGGTGGGAGGAGAATGTGGGCGAGTGAGGTGTTGAGTGAATGAGTAGCTGGCTGGTGTGTGGCGGTCACTCCTCGTTACTTTTTGACTCATAATAGCAACTTAGTGGTTCGTTATGTTGAACAAAACATGCAGATACTTATATATAACCTGTGTATATAGTGTAATAACCGACAAAGTATTTGTTCACCGTTTGATTTTGTTGCCTTCTCTATTTTGTAATTGGCACGTTGTGTAATTATGCATCCCTTACCGGATCTTGGTGCCGCGTCTGCTCAGGATTTGGTGTCTGGTCTACCTCGACGACTGGCTGGTGTGGGCTCCCAATCGGTCCGTTTGTCTGCTCGCCAGGGGTGTGGTTCTTTCCAGATCGCCAGGTTCGGTTTCCTGGTGAGGCTCTCTGGCAACCCTCCCTCCCACTGGTCGGCCATTTTTTTGCATTGGTTGAAGCTTAGCTTCCAAACTGATGCTAGGCAGCCAGCACGATGAGGTCTGGCCCCCCCTCCTCCTCCTCCTCCTCTCGGGGCAGGGAGGGCTGCACGGATGATCGGCGCGGCAGTAAAGTGTGATGTTTGCTTGTTTCCTTGGGATTGTAGGGGGTTTCTATGTTCAGTTTTCTGTTTTAGTTTTTTACCATGTGGGGTTTGCCTACCTTTCTGGGAGTCTAACCGTAGTCGATGGCAGATAAGGAAAACCTTAACCACAAGGGGGTTTTCCAGGGTCAGTGCTCCCTGAAACCTCTCTGAAGGGGCCAAGTTCTGACGCTGGTCCCTGGTAGGTCTGGTTGATACCTGGTCTGAACTCCTTAGCTAATGTCCCGGTCTAATATAACATACATTAGTCCAATAAGCTCCAGGGAGCCTCCGGGGCTCACCCAGAAAATAGCGTTTGATTACATTCAACGCTTTTTTTTTTTTTTTTTTTTTTTTTTGGTAAGGATATTCCTACATGGGCCCTAAGCCTCTGTCTGGCCCACTAAGTGTTACTCGTTTCTGTTATACTTAGGCGGAGTACGAGTATTTATGATTCTTATGGTCGCTTCAGTATGACTATGCCCCATGTGTTTAATAACTGCTCTGTTGAATCAAAGTTGAAATCTTATTGGGTTTGTAACTGTACACTGTTTTCGATACAGTTCCAGAGGTCTGTCGGGCATTTCTCCACATTGCTGATAATTTTTATATTGATTTTCTGTTGGCGAACCAATTTAAATGGTTTACGTTTAACATGGAGAAATTAAGTATCTGTAAAGTCGTAATTAAATTGGACAAGTCATGAGGCACTGCAGATTTTTTGAAAGACCTGCAAATCATTTCTACATTTCATGGTAATAAAACATGGATTTGATGCATATCAACATTACATCACTGTTGAAAGAAAAAAATGAATAAAGCATATTAATGAAACAAAGTTGAGCATTTATGGACAGATGATCAACCAAGGTGGTTTTGTATGTAAGTACTATAAGTACTTACTGCAAGTACAATAATAATGAAAGTACTCATTTCTGGATAATTATTAGACTTCACTTCCACATTCTAGTGTGTCATGAAGTGGTGGGTTTATTTTCTAGTGCGATTAATAATATAGGCGACTTGGGGCGGGGCGCCTGACAACTGGGTGGACAGCGCTTCAGATTCATTGTCTTGAGGTTCCGGGTTCGATCCCCGCTGGAGGCAGACACAAATGGGCAAAAATGTTTCTTTCACCCTGATGCCCCTGTTACCTAGCAGTAAATAGGTAACTGGGCTATGGGCTACTTCCTTGGGGGAAGGGGGGGGGGGGTAACAAAAAGGAGGCCTGGTCGAGGACCGGGCCGTGGGGACGCTAAACCCCAAAATCATCTCAAGATAACAGCAAGACAAGACTTTAGTTTAGGCGCTATGTGCATCTTGTGTCTTAGCACTAATACTCAGAACTGGAGACGAAGTAATTACTTATGGTTGTAAAGCCATCAGAGGTCTCTGGGTACAGAGTGGCTATGTTATAACAATTTTGCTAGCCCTTCATTGCTTGACCCTTAAAGTGCGCATCACATCATATGAAGTGTTGGACGTTGTTCCAGTCAACTGCGCATCACGTCATATGACGTGTTGGAGTACTACGCAAGATTTAAACGGCCCGCGGATACACGGGGTTCACCACACCTTCATCAGGGCTCTTGTAAACAGACGCCATTTTTTTTTAAAATCGTGGGCCAAACTCCGAGGTGTTATTGGTCTCAGTATTGAGTGAACAACCAAGCCTGACGCACGCAGCATGAGCTAACAGCACTGCTGTTCAGCTTGTGACCACAGCATCGCCTAAAAATGCCAAAATATACTTGTTCATGCTGTTATGGAGAGATGATATTACAGAAGACCCCTGACTGATAAAACTGACCAGGGTTCTGATAATAGCAGGATTGTGGTGATATTTAGCGCTGTGCACCATGGAGGGAGGAGTAATGCTGTGGGAGGGAGGGTGGTGGCGATGTCTTCTGACTGTGTATGGCCACCTTTTATTGACTGCACTCACCATACCAGCTTAGTGGTTCGCTATGGTGAACACAAATGTAGATACTTATATATAACGTGTGTATAGAGGGTATAAACAGCAAGAGAAGGTTTGGAGCCGCCATTTTGGTGAGGGCGGTGGCGTCGTCTGCATGACGCCACCGTGCAGACGACAGTGTTATTTACTGGTTACCACGATGGTCTTTGGGCACCATACCAGCTTATTTGTACAAGTATGGTGAATAAAACAGGTAGATATTTATATATAATGTGTGTATACAGTGTAATAACACCACACAGTATTGTTGGAGGAGAAATATTAGCGCGTCTGGCCTTGAGGGCGGCAGCCATCAGCTAACTGTGTGAGGTCCTACGTCTTTGTGCCTTTACTCACCATACAAGCTTAGATGTACAGTTATGGTGAACAAAACATGTAGATACTTTATATAATGTCTGTATATAGTGAATTATAGCAAAAACAGTATTGTGGGAGGAGAATGTGGGCGAGTCGGATGACTTGAGGGAGGGCGGGAGTGGCTGGCTGGTACACGGTGGTCACTCCTCGTTACTTTTTGACTCATAATAGCTACTTAGTGGTTCGTTATAGTGAACAAAACATGCAGATACTTACATATAACCTGTGCTTAGAGTGTAATAACCGACAAAGTATTTGTTCACTGATTGATGAACATAATTGAATCAACAATATGCACACCATATTTTTGAGTACAGCAATGATTCACTCATTTTATTATATAAATATATCAAACTACACACTATTGAATAATACTACAGCAAAAAAACTGAAAAATCAGAGACATTGAAATAATTAGGTAATTATCTCTGTGGCAACTCCGGTTTGACAGCTGGCGAGCATCAGACCGCCTGGGACGCACGCTGTGTCAGCGCCTATAATTTGCCAGACTTCCCTGCCCTATAGCGGGCAATATATGCCACTTGCGATTTTTTTATTATTTTTCCCGTGATCAGTGAACACAAATTAACATGTTAGGAAGAAAAAATATTTTTTTTTCAAAATTACATGCGCCTGTGGGGAAGAAAGGATTTTACACCCCTAGCATGTTAAGGGTTAAGGAACCAATTTGCAAATTGGTTCTAAAAACGTATCTCTCGCCATGTTCCCAGTGTCCTTTCAACAAGACGTTTTGACAATAGTGATTATTTATAATAGCATCTCCCAACATGAACACAGGCATGGTAGATACAATAATATAGAGTAGTAGGGTGTGTCACAAAACATCCAACTTTTCCAACCGCCTCAATTACCAATAGTTCAAATTTCTTTTCCTACCAAAAGGCAAGTTTTTGTTTTAATTCTCTCAAATCTACATTTTCTATGCCCAAATAGGTTGGAGGAACTTTATGCATCCTTAGTTGTTATATGATTTTTCTTTACCTTTCAGTTAATATTTATCATGCACACTATGGGGTGAAATCTCAAGTCTACAAAATATCTCCATTGTACATTTTCCATAACTATTGTTCTTCATGCATATACTGTATAACATTTTTTAAAGTTAAACAAAATTACAGAGGGCAGGGAGGCTCAACAGAAATGATCATGCATCGGTTGATGAAATATATATATTGGGTGTGCATGGTATATGCACATCCAACTGACACTGGTTGCTGCAACCATGATCAGTACTGAGGGGTAGTGAGGGGTATGATTTATTAAATGCATAATTAAAATGAAGTATCACAATAAATCTCAATTCTCTCAACTGGACTGCTGCCAAACAGCTTCGACTACCTTAAGTATCAATGCTGCCTCTCATGCAATCAAGTTTTCATTTAGCTTCCACTAGTAGAAAAACTAGAAATGCATTTACTAATTATGTTAACTTTAAAGCCTACACTATTTACTAAATAAAGCAAATTCATACTATACAGCATTCATAGATTACCATCACCTATAATACCATCTTTCAGAAATTTATTTTATCTACAATGTTGTGCATTTTAATTTTTGAGAACAAACTTACTTCTATAATTCTTGAATCACTTGTTGAATAATTTTGCCACGTAGCATCTTGCCACTGCCAAAGAGCAGCATCCTGAGGACAACTAGACGGTCGTTGCAAAGCCCCGTCAATAGCAAAGATGCCATCCGAGGGAAGCATTGGCATCAATTCACCAATTAAACAAGTAATCTCGTACAACTCTTGTGGACTGCGAGATACTAGTTCCACCTGAAGATTTAAAATTTTAGGTTAACCAGTGTGACGAAAGATGCAGACAAAGCTTATCAAGTGATGCTCTATATTAGTCAGACTATTTTCGTAAGCAGAAGAAATATCAATGTAGCCTGAACAAATAACCCAACCCTCACATTAAATTAAGTAACAACATTTTAGTCTGTCTTGGACCCTTATCAAGGCATGTGACTTTGTAACTGTCCAGGATGGACGGAAACAGCACTCATTCCCATGTGTAGGAAGGGAGGGGGGGGAAATAGGTTATTTTCCTGTCTTGTAGTTAATACATGGCAACCCTTACTTGTTCTCCCGGAGGTTCTGTAGAATTGGTGAGAAGGTAACACAGTGTATGTGCAATGTTGTTTTTTAAAAGTTGCACAGCCAGTTCTGGACAGTTGTTGCACATAAAGGACAGCATTCTTATTACCATGATGAATGTTCCACTGTTCAATACAGGTGGGGACATAACCAGCTGTTCAAAAAAATTAGATTAGTTTCACACAAAATGACAAGCTATCTCTGCAAGTGTCAACATGTTATTTTCATTGTAGGGTATTTTAAACTATTATAATTTTAATGATGAAGCCTTACCAGTTGCTGAATGTTTGACAGAAGACCATGGCCAGCTATCTCTTGAAGGCGGTTGGGGTCATTTTGGAAACAATCCACTAGTCGACTGTATGCTAAGCAGACACTTTCCACACACTTTTTATCTCCCTGCAAAGATCAAACATTATTTAACTAGCCAAGATCACAAGAGTGACGTATCAACAAGCGTTACATCAATACGGCGAGACCAATAAGGCAGGAGTTCAGTCTTGCCATACTGCTCCAAATTTGTTTTACATGCCTAATTCAAGGGAACATAACCAATATAAAAAATGTAAGAAAACTTTGGACCTATTTCATACAAGTAATCTTTGAACATTACTTTAACCTTTAAACTGTGCAAAACATATTTGTATGTATGGACTTTGAGATCAGTTTCTCAAACTTTCTCAAACACTTACATAATCTACTAGCACATGATCATTGAGACAAAGTTGGAGCAACTTAAAAAACAAATAAAAAATAAATTTGAAATTGAATGTTGAAAACTTCAAATTTTGAGATCAGCTACAAAAATATGAAATATCACTTGTTCATTTGGTGTTATGTTCTCAGAGTAACATATGATCTTCCTTTTCATAAATTTAGAATATAGGTTTTCAGTAGTTTACTGTAAAAAAAAAAATCTATACGACATTTGAAATAGGCACCAAATTTAGAAAAAAAAGTATAGCTCCAAACGTTTAGGATTTATTTATTTTATTCATTCCAATTTTATCTTCACACTGTTAGGGAAGAGCATGCACATCCCAGGATGTAGAGTTCACAACAAAATCAGAGAAAAAAAAAATCTTTCCCCCATAAAAATATTTTTTTGACATTAGTGAAAGTAACATTAATATTGGGCAATGGCTCAATCATAGAAACTGAGTAAATTCGATACACAGGATCTTCCAGATCAAAAACCATACTGGTGGTGGGGTGATTTAGTGTTTGTGTGGGGTGTGTGTGTGTGTGTGTGTGTGTGTGTGTGTGTGTGTGTGTGTGTGTGTGTGTGTGTGTGTGTGTGTGTGTGTGTGTGTGTGTGTGTGTGTGTGTGTGTGTGTGTGTGTGTGTGTGTGTGTGTGTGTGTGTGTGTGTGTGTGTGTGTGTGTGTGTGTGTGTGTGTGTGTGTGTGTGTGTGTGTGTGTGTGTGTGTGTGTGTGTGTGTGTGTGTGTGTGTGTGTGTGTGTGTGTGTGTGTGTGTGTGTGTGTGTGTGTGTGTGTGTGTGTGTGTGTGTGTGTGTGTGTGTGTGTGTGTGTGTGTGTGTGTGTGTGTGTGTGTGTGTGTGTGTGTGTGTGTGTGTGTGTGTGTGTGTGTGTGTGTGTGTGTGTGTGTGTGTGTGTGTGTGTGTGTGTGTGTGTGTGTGTGTGTGTGTGTGTGTGTGTGTGTGTGTGTGTGTGTGTGTGTGTGTGTGTGTGTGTGTGTGTGTGTGTGTGTGTGTGTGTGTGTGTGTGTGTGTGTGTGTGTGTGTGTGTGTGTGTGTGTGTGTGTGTGTGTGTGTGTGTGTGTGTGTGTGTGTGTGTGTGTGTGTGTGTGTGTGTGTGTGTGTGTGTGTGTGTGTGTGTGTGTGTGTGTGTGTGTGTGTGTGTGTGTGTGTGTGTGTGTGTGTGTGTGTGTGTGTGTGTGTGTGTGTGTGTGTGTGTGTGTGTGTGTGTGTGTGTGTGTGTGTGTGTGTGTGTGTGTGTGTGTGTGTGTGTGTGTGTGTGTGTGTGTGTGTGTGTGTGTGTGTGTGTGTGTGTGTGTGTGTGTGTGTGTGTGTGTGTGTGTGTGTGTGTGTGTGTGTGTGTGTGTGTGTGTGTGTGTGTGTGTGTGTGTGTGTGTGTGTGTGTGTGTGTGTGTGTGTGTGTGTGTGTGTGTGTGTGTGTGTGTGTGTGTGTGTGTGTGTGTGTGTGTGTGTGTGTGTGTGTGTGTGTGTGTGTGTCCCATCTTCCCAGCACTGTCATATAACGCTTTGAAACTACTGGCGGTCTTGGCCTCCACCACCTTCTCACCTAACTTGTTCCAACCGTCTACCACTGTTTGCGAAAGTGAATTTTCTTATATTTCTTCGGCATCTGTGTTTAACTAGTTTAAATCTATGACCTTGTTCCTAAAGTTCCAGGTGTCAGGAAATCTTCCCTATCAATTTCATCAATTCCTGTTACTATTTTGTATGTAGTGATCATATCACCTCTTTCTTCTGTCTTCTAGTTTCGGCATATTTAATGCCTCTAAGCTCTCCTCGTAGCTCTTGCCCTTCAGTTCTGGGAGCCACTTAGTGGCATGTTATTGCACCTTTTCCAGTTTGTTGATGTGCTTCTTAAGATATGGGCACCACACAACCAAAGTGTGTGTTGCACATATTGCGTGCATGTGTTGGGAGTTTTCAAAGATACCAGGACTGAGCGTGGGAAGTCTGAGGAATGGTGTTGCTGGGAATATGTGGCCGAGTGTTAGTTCTTCCACATTCTCTGACCCAGTCATACACTATTAGATCAATTTACTTTCATTACTGCAGTTTTCATGTAATTTATGTTATGAGCATAGGTTGCTACATTTAATTCAGTAACCTGAAACACCTTTCGAGTTTAGACTAAGAAAGGTAACAATTTTAAGTATTAACGGTAAAATGAAAATGATTGTGGCTGTTACCTGTGTAGTTAATCTTGATGACAGGAGTTGAAGAGAATCTGCTATAAAATGGAACTCGTCGGCAGTGAGGTTCTGACAGCAGTTGGCAGTAATGCTTAAAGCCGCACGTTGGGCTCCAGTTGAAAAGAAGTCTATGTACATTAGGCAAGCAGACACTCCATGCTGTAAAATATACAAAAAAGGAATTACAAATTGCAGAACTAGAGGTGGTAAGGTGCGGGTTTGAAGATTGAGCGATGCATTAATATTTGTACATCTTCACAAATCTGCACATACAAATAAAACTGTACAGACATCTCATACAATGTATTATCAAACAATACTTTATACCCACTTTAGTATACCCACTCAACTTTGTTAAAGAAATGTTTATACAGACAAAGCATGTTTCCAGCTGTCCATTATCAGGAACAAAACTGCTGTTAAAACAGCCAACCATTTCCAAAATAGTGCAACTACAATTCTAGGGACTGTGTTCCATAAACTGCAAATACATTTACTGCCAGCTGCTTCCGTACTCACCAGAAAGAGAAAAAAAAATTCAACCACACCATTCGGGTTCTTTCACAAATTTGTGCACGGAAGAAAAGTCAACCAATGCCATTAGCATGTGGCCTATTACACTTGCACAATTACAGGAATAGTGTGTTGTACTTGCAAATCAAGATGTTTACTATGAAGTTAATGACTTTTCATGAGTATTTTATGTAATATCTAACTTTTCCTACAATAACTTTCAACATTTCCCCATCCTTTCTGGTCAAGTGCTGCACCTTACTCCGAGGAAATGACGGGATAATGACAACTATGTTCACACAATACCATTACAATATTAAGACTTTAAACATGCTCTCTCAGATTAGACTTTTTAAAACCCATGTTCTATTACAAAAATTAAATGACCAAAAAATATACTTACAGCCTGCAATATTGACTTTGAATGCTTACGAGAAAGCATGTCTAGAGCAGTCAGCGACTGCTCTGCAACATCCATACACTGGATCACCTGTAGCTTCTCTAAAAACACCGGTACTGCATCCACCACCACCGCTGATGATCTAGGTAGGGCCTCCATCATGTAGGTTAAGGCTCGACATGCATGATTCATCTGCAACAAAATTTGAATGCTATAAACTTACAAAATTTTTTGCAACCATATAAACAGGGTGTGATCAAAATATTTACATCTAAAAAAAAATTCAAGCACAACACTCCAGCAATGGGCCCAATCCCTAAGGTTATACCAAACATTGAGGAATGGCTACATATCTTTGGCAATGCTATGCAAGTCAAAATTTTAGCCCTAAAATAATTTGAATCTCTTGAAAACTGAAAATAGTTTTCATATACATCAGTTTGATATTCTCAAATGGTCTATTGTGAATCATGCAAAAAGTTACAAGTTTTGTAATACTCAATATATTTTAATGTAAAATTTGAACAGTATACATTTTCCATAAATACTTCATAGCACTGAAAAGAGGAGGGGCAATAGGTATACCGAGAGTACTATCAACATTAAAGGGCTCATGGCATTTCAACACCACCACTCCACGTCAGGGGCAAAACTAGCAGACTTATCAGTGTTCAAGAGAACTTTATTAACACCTCCAAAGGATACCTGATCAGCTCTGATTCATGTGTCAGGCTGCAAGTAGCTGCAGCCAACAGCCTCATTGACCAGACCATAATCCACGATGCTGGATCAAAGACGAGGTCGTGGGACATTGAGCCCCAGAACCAACAACAGGTAGGTAGGTTCTCCAGGAGCATGAAATCCAAGTTATCAGAACGTACAGTTACTAATGCCATATGGCAGGAGTCAAGATGCACACGACTCCAAGGATAATGTGATCAAGAATACCTATGGAAATCACAGTATGGAAGTGGGAACAACTTTTATTCCTCAGGGATATACTGTACCTACCATATCAAAATTGTGCTCCATATTAAGCAGGTTGATTAGTGCTGGGGTGACTTGCTTGATGGGGAAGCCTGCCAGTGTGTCTTCATTGCCCATTACTAACAACTGACACATCTCTATAACTGCTTGAAGCTGCTCACTTTCCTCACCATTTGCCTGCAACCCAACTAAGAGCTGCTGTGCCTTGGAACCTGTTCAATGGGTTATTGAAGTGATTAGAACTCTTAACCGTTACATTAGATTTTAACTAGAAGATGCAGACCAGTACAACCACCATTATTTACAGACTATCAAAGCAGTTACATTAGATTTTAACTAGAAGATGCAGACCAGTACAACCACCATTATTTACAGACTATCAAAGCAAATAAACAAAAATTTGGTTAAATAATTTGTTAGTAGTCAGGTTTTAAACATTTGTTGAAAAATTCTGCTCCTTTCACACAGCACCTACAAGTGAAGCAGTTTCCAAAACACTCATGCGTATTATCTCGGTAAATATATTGACAGAGGGAATAATTAAGGTAAGCAGCAGGATAACTGTTACGAAAAAATCAAATAAACAGGAAATTACAAATTGCAGAACTGCGTAAGGTCAAGTGGTGATTTGAAGATTGAGCGATGCATTAATTAGATATAGCAAACCAAGTTAAAACCAACAGTACACTCTCCTACAATACACAAATGGTCAACCAAAGGTAAACCATTTAAGAACAGTTTGTAATATATATATATAGACAAGCCAATTCTTATGGCACCCAAATACAAAATATGCACTTCAATGTGTCAGTATTTGACAAAATTTAGACTAAATAATTTGCAAACAACATCCAATTACAAACTTACTAATGGAGGAAGAAACCGAGCGATGCAAAATGTGTTGCATGCGAGGCCCTAATGCCCCAAACAGGCTAGGAGGAAGACCACGCGATGCCAACAAAGTTTCTAATCGTCCCATTTCATTTTCCTCACTCTCACTATCTGTTGGTGCACCCATGAGTCCTCCAATGCTGCCAGCCAGGCCTCCACTTGCTCCACTGCTACTTCCACCACCTATGGCTGAAATAGAAACAAAGCATGGTGGGGAATGTTGAGAGCTAAGCATACACTACCAGTGGAGGTCTTCTTCCCTGAAGCTACACTGCCACCATTTCTTGCTATGGTTAATATAATGAAAAATAAACTGACATTCTATCTGCAGAACAAACAAACAAAATGGTACCAAATGGTCACCAAAGAACCATCTTTGTATCGAGGGAGCTAAAAATAATATCCATGGAGTGCCACTGGCCAAGAGTGATGAAAGGTTTACTTCTGGACTGAAAATTTATATTTTGTCTCAATTCAAGCCACTCAAAGAAGACTGGATAACCACAGTACCCTAATCTATTCAAATCACTATACTAAACAATATGGCTACTAAGTAGGATACCTGCCACAAACAACAGTCTGCTGCAAGACACACTTTTGTACAACCAGCCCAACAACCGTGGGTTTGAAGGGCTCCTCCTGGTAACGGTTGTCTGAGCAGCCTCTAGAGCAAAAAGTAAGGTGAAGGATTTCTTAACGCAAGTTCTTCTCTAGGCCATGGCTATCGAGGAAAATGGGAAGCTAAAAAGGTGGAAATTTTTTTAATACAATATGCAGCAGCAGATGTACCCGAGCAGCATGGAACCATGGACAATGCAGCAGGAAATGTTCAACAGTCTCCTCCTGACCTGGATATCATTAGCAATCTGACAAGTCTAGGCCCAGGCGATGGAGATGAGCCACTTTGCTGTACATTGGGCATACCAGTTGAGTGATTCCAGAATCTAGACACCAGTAGTGATGCTAGGCCCCATAGGCTAGGGAAGGCATCAGATATCTTTGTGTACAGGAAACCTAGCAGATATATGGGAAAAGGCAAACATTGTTACAATCTACTAAAATTTTAAAAGAATGCCCTCTTAATTAGACCTCTATCGTCGAAAAGCATGGTAGGCACTATGAAAAAAGAGGTAAAACCAAATGTATATAGTACCTGGAGAGAAATAACAGCATGGTTATCAAGGATAAAAAAAAAAAAAAAACCTGTGTAACAAAAACACTAGCAGCAACATCTTGACTGCATGCAATCTTTACTACACTACTCTCAACCTTAAAAATCAGGCTAACCCCAAGATAAGCTTGTGAACGGTGAGAATCCTCACACCTCCATAGCTTAGCGAGGATCATTTGAATAAAGTGGTATCCAAGTTTTGAATCTCTGTATCCAAAATGTGATCGACATCCTTTATGTTCATCCTTATGTTCGAAGCCATAAGGTATTTTGTGCTATATATATATAGCACAAAAAATCCCCAGCATTAAGTTATAACCAGTTAATTGCTTGCCTGTACATACCAAAGTCCAACATCAGAAACCACACCATTCTGAGAGCACGTGTTAAGCAACAAGCTCTGAAGAATTGTCTACCATTTAGAAACATTTTCCAACGTTACGTACTTTGCAAGGACACGAGGGGTTTAACCACTAATCCAACAACAACACCTCGGAATTAACTGGTGTCAGTTCCAAAATGGTTTGATTTGTATTATGCCACCTGCCACTCTTCCCACTTGCCTAAGTAATCCATCATTTAGTCAAAAGCCTCATATTGGATACAACAAACTATTCATCTTTACTAAGGGAAATGGTGTGTCTGCTTCACTTACCAAGGCCCATATGAGCAGAATTTCTCAGCAACTGTTCAGTGAAACTGAGGTGAAGAGTACCATAGAAACAAGAAATTAAATAATTTGAAATGTTTTCCCATGATCTACCTATATTTGAAAAGGAACAAATAAGTAAATACTTAGCAGGGAAAAGATGGAAAAGGGGGGGGGGGGGTAAATTTTACACATTCAAAATCTATTAGAAATCAAGTCTTTAAATATTTTATTAAAATATGAAACATGCCTTTTACTCACCAGTCTTCCACATAGCAGCTGCTTAATTACTTCTCATTAGAATATTGGTACAGATACATTAATTAATGTCATTAGTACAAGTTAAATTCTTCGAACAATAAAACGTACTGTTTTTGCTGTTATTACACTATATACACACATTATATATAACTATATATCTATGTTTGTGTTCACCACAAGGAACCAGAAAGCTTGTGTGGTGGGCCCAAAGACAGCAGTGTCAACATGCTAGTCAGTCGACGATGTCATGATTCGCATTAATGCCTCCGATTAGTAGCACTGGGACCTGGTGGGAGAGATGATAATCAGAGCACTACTGTGTTGCATGCACCAATATATCGGCAACGGATCCCAGTTGTGAGCTAACAGGAGGACCGAGCTCCATGCCATATGGTGGTGGTGATCAGTACCAACCGATTTGAGCAAATTACATTGTTTTGTTTGACTTATTTGCAAAGTTATTTGGCAGTTTCAAGGCTTTCACTTGTGAACCCAGCAGTTTTTGTTTTTGACTCCGGTCAATGATAGGCTAACTGGAACTCACATGACTGATGCAACTTTATGTATATAGCAATCTCTATGAGACAGCTAAAGGGAGCCACTAAAGGCCTCCCCCAGAAAAGTTATCCATAAAGGGTCAAACATCTCTTGACATTTCATTTGCTTTTCTATTAATTACCTCATGTACATCTCCAACTTCATTCCCACTTACTAGTTCTATAACGACTATCCATTAGTTAAAATGCACACATTATACACACAAGTGTTAACTCCTGACTAAAATAAATTACAATATTGCATCACCTCCAAGTGTAGCCAATGATGCTGTAGGCAGCAAACCCGAAGTAGTCGAGGTAGAAGGTGCCACATGGAGAGCAGCGGAGGCCGTGGTGGTGGCTGGAGGTACTCCAGTTGAACTAGTGCCTCCTGTAGTGCCTGTAGTGGAACAAGCACCATGGGAAGAGGCTTGTGGGGGGCCTGATGATGTGGAGGAACCCTCATGGCCACCATGTGACCCAGACATGCCTGAGCCACCGCTGCCAAAACTCACCTTCCCGCACCCTCTAGACGAGTGCTGGCTGCAATTTGATGAATCAAAGATAATTAGTGTGTCAGATATAAACAGTTAAGAGAAATGGCAGAGAGAGTTCGATCTCCTTCCCCTGTACTCAGTGATAGGTAAGCACATGTTGATGCAAAAACACATGTTGATGCAAAAAATTTCCATCAACCATTTATTATGGAAAGACTAGTATTAAACCAAATGGCATTATGTAGATTAAACTGAAATATTGTAAAACATGCCAGCTTCTGTTTTTGACTTTGCCAGCTGCACACTTAATAGCACTAAGTAAGGCTCTCATGATATTCTCTCATGCTGGCTTCATTCAAATTTACATTAATATAATGTAAGTTTGAATGAAGGTGCAAATTTAGATGCTCCTTTTAGGTTCATGAGTGCATCTAAATTTGCACCCTACAGCATTTGCAAAGTACCATTATCTCAAACATTTGTTCAAGTCAAATGAAAACCTGCATTAAGGATTATGTTCATAATATATTCCTAAACAGGTATATTTAAATGCTCTTAAAAGTTGTGGCACTGAAAGTATAATTTTAACTTGAATAGAATTTTTTTTTAACTCGTGATAATTCAAGAGAAATCTTGATTAAGATTAACATGTGCAATGAATGATGTAATACTGATCATTGAAATTCTCTAAAGCAGAATTTTGCACTAAGCAAATATTAACACATTACTTTCTCACTAATTGCCAGGGACAAAGTCCTGACAACTCAAATTTATTTAAGTACTGCACCTGCTACTGGCACACGACCCCGTGTTGTTGGTTTTACTGCGACTGCTACGTTTAGAAGAAAGAGGCGATTTTTTGGTTCCGTGTGTTCTTTTCCAAGTTCCTGAAAGTTCAATAACAATACTACATTTTAATATGTGTAGGAAAACTTGTCTTTTTAACCCATGGCTAAAAGCCTTCACTTACTAATATTTCTTTTGGAAAAGCAAATACAGTGGCACCTCGACTTACAATTACCCCAACTTACGATAACTTCGAGTTATGATGTATATTTGATCAGATAATGCAACTCGTCTTACGATAGTGTCGTCGACTAACGATATTCGTGTATTAAAGATACACATTCGGGTCGTCCGAGCACATGGTTCCCGGTCGTGCAGGCTGACCTACCTCAGTTTACCAGAGCTGCCCACTTAGTGACGATCAAGCTTATAAGAAATTCTATTTTTGGGTGATCTTTTGCCTTTTGAACATAAAACTGATTATAATATATCGTGCCATGGGTCCCAAGAAAGTCAGGGTAAGGTTCAATATATGAAAACACATGTGAGGATGACCATGGAGGCAGTACAGAATATCCTTTCCTCAAATATTAAGAAAATGTGTGCAGCATGGAAAGAACTGTAAACTTTCACTGAAACAACTCGCCCAAATCAAGCTGCAGTAGGCCGTTGCCTTAACCTTTTCAGTGACACTGATGTATCACTACAGACAAACGTTAAAACAAAGGGAAAAACCAAGTGTCGCTAGACACATTTTTAGTGAGAAACTAGCAGTGAACCACAACCAAGTCCTAGTGGTATGCAGGCAAAACGTAGTAGAGAGAGTGTACCCCAGAGAAATCATCACTGCCCAATTTACACACAAATCACAATAGCGTGATACATCAAATGAACAAATCCACAAGGGCCTAACGAGGGTTCGAACCTACGTCCGAGATGATCCCAGACGCTGCCTTAATCGACTGAGCTACGACATGGAAAAGAATTGCAACCGGGAAATCATCCTAATTTACCCTGGTTCCTACAGTCTCTCCAAGACAAACCAGGGACATAGCTCGGATGCATGGGGGAATTGCGTAAAACCCTGGTTTCTCTCTCGGAGAGACTGCAGGAACCGTGGTAAATTAGGATGATTTCACAGTTGCAATTCTTTTCTATGTCGTAGCTCAATCGATTAAGGCAGCGTCTGGGATCCTCTCGGACGTAGGTTCGAACCCTCGTCACAGCCCTTGTAGATTTGATCACTGCCTGATGTTATAATGGAAGGGAACTTCCCTTCAAACAGAAACATCTCTCCTCCTCCTCCCCCCCTCATCATCATCCATATGCCATCAAGAGTCCTCCATAAAGGTAAGATAAATATATGTACTGTGTTGTAGTTAGAGAAAAAATTGTATTCAGTAATAAATGTATTTTTAAGTTAATATTTTTGGGGGTGTGGAACGGATTAATTCAATTCCCTTTATTTTTTTATGGGAAAAATCATTTTGACTTACGATATTTCGACATACAATATGTGTTTGGGAACAGATTACCATCGTAAATCGAGGCCCCACTACCATTTTCATTCAACAAATACTAAAGCACAATACTTTTAATTTGTTTTGTAACACCGTAAAGGTGCTTTGTACTAATATATACATAGAGTACATGAGTCACAGACAAGATTTTGAGAGGCACCAGGTTGGCAACCCCTAGTTATCTTGAGATGATTTCGGGGCTTTTTAGTGTCCCCGCGGCCCGGTCCTCGACCAGGCCTCCACCCCCAGGAAGCAGCCCGTGACAGCTGACTAACACCCAGGTACCTATTTTACTGCTAGGTAACAGGGGCATAGGATGAAAGAAACTCTGCCCATTGTTTCTCGCCGGCGCCTGGGATCGAACCCAGGACCACAGAATCACAAGTCCAGCGTGCTGTCCACTCGGCCGACCGGCTCCTAGTAATCAAGAAAGTCACACCTAGAAGTGTTAATAACGACAAACTGACCCGTGGTCAGGTCGTGAGAGTCTGACCTGGCATGTGCTATCTGATAATTGTAGCCTAATAGCCGATGGTTGGTAGTGTTGTTCCATCAAACAAGCCGCCATAAGGTGTGGCTTGGTAGAAGGCCTGGGGCTATCTACTAGGTTCCCAATAAATACCCAGGGAACTATAGATTCGAGAGGATAGGATAGAGCACAGCAGGAGCAGAGCAGAGCAGACAGCAATCGAGACAGGATGTCGAACGGCCAGGGGGAAGGGACTGCCTTGTCAACTGTAGACCCTCCCCCCCCACCTCTCCACCCAAATTAGGCTCAGTCCTCGGTGAGTTGAACGTTAAGGTGACTTAGTTGTGTTTTACTATAAAGTGTTGTGTGATGATCAGGGGCAGACAGCTGTAATGGCTCTCAAATTCTTGTGTAATGACTCGTGTTGTGTATTAATCTTGAACAATAAATTTGAATTGCTTGAATGATGATACTTATGTTTAAATATAATTGATGAATTTATGGTTTAAATTGTCTTTAACTTTGTTCCCTAGAGCTTTGTGAGTTGAGGCAAGAGTGCCTCTATGGTTACTGATTTGATGATTTTAATGAGTACATGTTTAGAGTTGATACATGAATTCCTTGGATAATTGTGATAGACAAGTTTCATTCCTTGTCTTGCATGTACCGAGTTAGAACGGATGGTGGCAGCACTTTCTACTTACTCTTTTCCACTTCTAATCTACCTTTATACCATCTACTTCTACTTCCTACTCCCTCTCCTCTCCCACTTTCCCTTGCAGGGGGCTGGTGGCCGAGCGGACAGCACGCTGGACACATGATCCTGTGGTCCCGTTTTTCATACCGGGCTCCAGCGAGAAACAATGGGCAGAGTTTCTTTCTCCCCATGTCCCTATTACCTAGCAGTAAATGGGTACCTGGGAGTTAGTCAGCTGTCATGGGCTGCTTCCTGGGGTGTATGTGTGTGCAACCCGTTCTCGCAAATTCGTATAGTCAATATTGACTTATTAACTACGTGCATAGGTGATATACTAAACATAATAGATACCCTTAAAAAACTTGATAGAAAACACCCACCTTACCTAACCTTGTTAGTATCTTAAGATAAGCATCTTATTGCTTCGTAATTACAATTATTACTTAACCTATACCTATAATAGGTTAAGTAACAATTGTAATTACGAAGCTATAAGATGCTTATCTTAAGATACTAACAAGGTTAGGTAAGGTCGGTATTTTCTATGAAGCTTTTTAAGGGTATCTATTATGTTTAGTATGTCACCTATGCACTTATTTAATAAGTCAATATTGACTTTACGAATTTGCGAGAACGGGTTGGTGTGTGTGTGTGTGTGTAATTACCTATGTATAGTTACAGGATGAGAGCTATGCTCGTGGTGTCCCGTCTACCCAGCATTCTGTCATATAACGCTTTGAAACTACTGACAGTTTTGGCCTCCATCACCTTTTCACCGACCTAACAAATTCACAAAGACCTGAAAGTTGTAGCATTAAATATTATGATAGATATCGTGAGGAGACATTCACATATGGGACTAATAGAACAACAACTCAGCAATGTGATGTCATAGTTGCCAGAATACGCCTGGGATATAGACGTATCTGGCAACTCTTTCAAAACCCAAATGTCGAGTACACAATGTGCCCACTTTGTGAAAGAGAAAACATGCACTCACTTTAACATTATACTGTATTGTACAATGTCCCATATTGACCGACTTTTGCCCTCCTGGGCCGAGGCATGCTGAACTCTGTAACAACTACTATTCGAGTACTCCAACACTTTATATATTAGACTTATACCCTAGATGAACCATGTAATGTAACTATATAACCTGAGCTTGTAAAAGCATCTTAATCACCTTCAGTGGTTAAGTTCCTATTATTAATTACACTAGTTTCTCTGTCAGCTATCTCACCCTGTCAGAGTAAAAGACAAATGTATGTGTGTGTAATTACCCAAGTGTAGTTACAGGACGAAAGCTACACTCGTGGTGTCCCATCTTCCCAGCAATCTGTCATATAACGCTTTGAAGCTACTGACTGTCTTGGCCTCCACCACCTTCTCACCTAACTCCCCTAACTTGTTCCAACAGTTTACCACTGTTTGCGAAAGTGAATTTTCTTATATTTCTTTGGCATCTGTGTTTAGCTAGTTTAAATCTATAACCTCTTGTTCTTAAAGTTCCAGGTCTCGGGAAATCTTTCCTATCGATTTTATCAATTCCTGTTACTATTTTATATGTAGTGATCGAATCGCCTCTTTTTCTTCTGTCTTCTAGTTTTGGCATATTTAATGCCTCTAACCTCTCCTTGTAGCTCTTGCCCTTCAGTTCTGGGAGCCACTTAGTAGCATGTCTGCACTTTTTCCAGCTTGTTGATGTGCTTCTTAAGATATGGGCACTACAAAACCGCGGCATATTCTAGCTTTGGCCTAACAAAAGTCGTGAACAATTTCTTTAGTATATCGCCATCCATGTATTTAAAAGCAATCCTGAAGTTAGAAAGCATGGCTCCTCCATAGGCTCCTCGCACAATATTCTTTATGTGGTCCTCAGGTGACAGTTTTCTATCTAGAACCACCCCTAGATCTCTATCAGAATTCTTTAAAGATTTCTCACATAATATATAGGTTGTGTTTAGGTCTATGTTCTCAAATTCCACATTCCATAACATGGCATTTATTAACATTAAATTCCATTTGCCAAGTGGTGCTCCATATACTTATTTTGTCCAGGTCATCTTGAAGGGCATGACAATCATCTAAGTTTCTTATCCTTCCTATTATCTTAGCATCATCAGCAAACATGTTCATATAATTCTGTATACCAACTGGTAGATCATTTATGTAGACAATAAACATCACTGGTGCAAGAACTGAACCCTGTGGTACTCCACTTGTGACATTTCTCCAGTCCGATACATTGCCTCTGATCACTGCCCTCATTTTTCTATCAGTCAGAAAATTTTTCATCCATGTTAGAAGCTTACCTGTCACCCCTCCAATATTTTCCAGTTTCCAGGACAACCTCTTATGTGGAACTCTGCCAAAAGCCTTTTTTAGGTCCAGATAGATGCAGTCAACCCAACCATTTCTTTCCTGCAATATCTCTGTTGCTCGATCATAGAAACTGAGTAAATTCGATACACAGGATCTTCCAGATCGAAAACCATACTGTCTGATATTATATCTTCTCTCTCCAGGTGTTCTACCCATTTAGTTTTAATTATTTTTTCCAATATTTTGACTATTACACTTGTCAATGATACAGGTCTATAATTAAGGGGACCTTCCCTGCTTCCACTTTTGTAGATTGGAACTATGTTAACCTTTTTCCACACATCACCTACAACTCCGGTAAACAGTGATGCCTGAAAAATCAGTTGAAGTGGAATGCTGAACTCAGGTGCGCACACACACTCAGAACCCATGGAGAAACTCCATCTGGACCAACTGCTTTGTTATTGCTTAGCTCCTTGAGCATTTTTTCCACTTGGTCTCTAGACTGCTCTATGTTGTTCTCTGGAATTCTTATTGTGTCTGGTTCTCTGAAGATCTTATTTTGTACAAACACACTTTGTAACTTTTCGTTTAATGTTTCACACGTTTCATTTTCAGTGTATCTGACCCCCCATTTTCAACCTCTGAATATTATCCTTTACCAGCAGCTTACTGTTAATGAATTTATAGAAAAGGCCTGGATCTGATTTACATTTGTCTGCTATACCGTTCTCAAAATTCCTCTCTGCCTCTCTCCTTACTGACGTGTAGTCGTTTCTTGCATCTTTGTATCGCTGGTATGTTTGGGGATTTGGCCTCTTTCTATAATGATTCCATGCTTGTGTCCTGTGATCTCTGGCCCTCTCGCAATTTCTGTTGAACAACCCTGTTTCCTAGGTCTGCATGTCTGTTTTGGTATGAATGTTTGTGCCTTCATCATAAATTGTGCAAAATTTGGCATACATCTCTTTTACTTCCTTGCCTAGCAACAAATCTGTCCAATTATACCCAAGAAAAAGTTCCCAAGTTCCCATAGCGTCCTCTCTTGAAATCAAGTTTAACAACTGTTTCACTGTCTCCATTCTCTACTAGATAATATCGCATAAGGTATTTAATGTCCAAGAGGACGTGATCACTCTTTCCCAAGGTAGGAAGGTACTGTATGTCAAATACGTCCTTTTTTCCTGGTGAATACTAGATCCAGTACTGACGGAACATCCCCTTCCCTCATTCTTGTGGCCTGCTTGACGTGTTAAACATGAATGTCTCCAAGATGAGGTTTAAATCTGCCTGTCCAAATGTCCTCTGTTCTTACCTCGTAGGCCTCCCAGTCTATTGCCTTAAAGTTGAAGTCCCCAGAACTAACAATCGGTATTTATCTGTCAGCTCTTGCCATACACTCATGACCATTATGAGGCCCTCTCGTTTGTCATCCAGTTCTTCCTTTGTCCATGTGTTGCTTGCTGGTGGATTGTAGGCATTTAAAATTATCAGCTTATCTTGAATCCAGATCTGCAATGCCATTATGTCTATATCTCAAGGGTTTTCAAACATTAATTCTCTTACCTTCAGGTGTTCTTTCACCAGCACAGCCACTCCTCCCTTCCTAGCTATCCTATCACGTCTCCAAACCGAATAGCCCGTTGGGAATAAGACCTCATTTAAAATATTTTCTTCAAGTTTTATCTCTGTTAATGCAACAATATCTGGGACTGAGCTTGATTATATCCTTCAACTCCAATATTTTCAATCTCACTCCATCTGTGTTGGTTTATATTATTTTCAGGAACATGTTCCCCTTCCTTTAATGATTTTGTTGCTTTGTCTTTATGTACCATTTCACAAGCTTTCCAGTCCCCGACTTTGTAGAAAAAAGAATGTCTTTCTTCATTTCTATCTCCATTTAGACATTTCGCTTCAATGAGGTTCATTTTCAGCTTTTTTCTGTCCTCCTTTGAGAGTCTTGTCTTATTGACCACAGTTTGCCATCTTCTTCACATTGCAATTTTCTGGCATTCAGAAGCACTTCCGTCATATACTTCACTCCATTAAACGTCACTCTTAAGGGGCAGTTCTTGCCTTTCTCATATTTACCTATCTTCCTAAAATCAGACATGCTCATTTGAATTTAGGCCTTCTCCTAATCCTACTATTTTTTCTATGATTTTCATCTCTTCTGCTGCTCAGTCCACCCTAGATGAAATTTCCTTCTCTACACATCCAAAAACTATTATGGACTTACTTCTATCTACAGTGTTTTGTACCAGTTTACGATTGGTTACCAGTTCTTTCCTAACTGCTTGCCCAAGATCTGCTTCTTTTTTGTCATTTCTGGTTTTGACTTCCAAACACACTTCCTTAATCGTCTCTTTGACAACTTGCACATGTCGCTTTTATTTCTTCTTTATACTTTTCTAGTTCTTTATTAGCCTCCTCTATTTGAGTTGCTAATGATGTTTCTCGTTGCATCTACTTGCCTAACTCAATGTTAGCCCTCAGGCTCCCTTTGAGTTGTTCAGCACGAGTATTTTCTTGTTTATTTCTTCAAATTCCCTACTCTTCACATTCCATGCCTCATTATCCTTTTCCAGTTCCTTCATGTGTGCCTCCTGTATCCTTACCTTATCAGTTGAGCTGTTAATTTCCTTACCTTGCTGGAAAAAAACTTCCTTTTAAATTACAAAACTCAATCTTGAGACCTTCATATTCTTGTACTAATTTAATTACCTTTTCTTCATATTTCTTTAGCATGTCCTCAATGATCACTAACCTGCAAAGAAAACCACCTTTCATTGCATCTTGTTGAGAGAAACCTGCAAAATATTCCTTTGCTGGGGTATTGTCTTCCCCAGTGGTGGTGGCCATCTTTGTTTACCTTCTGCTGTTTTGAAAGAACTTTTGAACCACATTTTTCATTCACTAACACTTATTTCTTATTTTAGTTTCTTTTCAAATTCCCTACACCTTCATGTATTCTGGGACACGACTTGCCGCTCTCACCCTACTCTCAACACTTAGATAATTTGAATTCTCCTGGAGCCTGCAGCAGTGACTCCTCAGTGTGATGCTCCTAATATATATCCCTGATATATATCTCCTGATATGTGTGTGTGTGTTGTGTGGTGTGGTGAGGAAAAAAATAGTAGTAGTTAGAAACAGTCGAGAGGCAGGCTGAAAGAGCAGAGCTCAACCCCCCCCCCCCCCCCGGAGTTACGGGTAGCTGATCAGGGTACAATGCCTTGGTGTAGAACCTAGGTAATCAAATACCTAGGTGACAAGGTGTTGAACTAGAGAGGTTGCAGTGGCAACTCTGGGGGTACTCTAGAATAGTTAACCAAGGGCGGGATAATGAACAAAAGAGCCCATTTTCCCCACCCCCCCTTTACAGTTTCATACATTTCAGTATTACAGTGGTTTTCATTAACACAGAAAACTTCAAGATACCCTTTTATCCCAGAAAGGCTACTTAACATGTGCACTGGTTACATAAGAATACATATGCTAAAGTGGGTAAAAGTTTTGGTGTTTTTTGGATACATTGCTAACAAACTCACTTATATTTGACATTTCCGTTTAGTTGATATGCTCAGTCTGTGGATAGTTATACTATACATAAAATTATCACTTTCCACTTTCACAGGGATAGGAAGACATTATGTGTATATGAAATGGAAAAACAACTAAAGAAATTAAATATAATAGAGCAATAATACTTTAATAAATATTTTGTTTTAACTCTAGCAGAACAGGTAGCCTTCACAAATTCAAAATACAGTAGGTGTGGTGCGCCCTTGTGGGGCGCACCACACCTTGCACAATGCAAGGTGTGCGTGCCCCATTTGTAGCCTGCACATGCTGCTTTAGGTAATTATGAATCTTTTCACTCTTTCTATTGCCAAAACACATTAATTCCAGCCAATATGACAGAGGATTCCTTACTGGTCTAGTTGATATGCATCTGAGGAAGATTACTCATGCTAACTCTTGAAGAGGAAATTCAGTGAATAACTTAAACAACCATTTTGTTCAATTGAGGCCATCATTCATCCTATAACTAACCTGCTGACTGTCTCGAGTCTTTGGTCTGCGGGGTGTTTCTTTTACTGGTTGCAGACTGTTCTTGTGAAGATCTCCGTGACTCTCTAAGTCTTCTGAAGGTGTCAGCCAGGAAGGCAACGCCTTGCGAAGAGGGCGATGAGGGCAATGACTGCGACTGTAGGGGAAAATAGAACATAATACAATGGTTTCTAGCAATGTACACAACTCCAATTTTACAAATACTTGCATTACATTTACATACAGGAGAAATAAATTGGAATTGCGCAAAAAATGCATTTGGAAGTATTTAAACCTTGTAATAGTGAAGTTACATCAGGCCATCTGAGTAACAATTCTGAATCACTTTTCAATGTGATAGATTTTTACTGGAGGCTCAAACATTAATTGGCAACAGGTTGTGTGTGGTAATTTCAAATATTACATAGTACTTAAAACATATGTGAACGATAATACCACACACACCATAGGTCACCTTTAAGATATGTGCATTGCAGGGGTTAATAAAATTTCATGAAAGAAAAGGAAACTAAGTGTTCTGAAAACTTATGACACTAGTAAATCCCAAAAACCAACAATTGGTGACATCAAAAACCTATAAAATTTCCTATGATAGACATTTTCAATGATATTTGCCATGTAATACCAATTATGAAAGCTAAATTTAAACTCATCCTTCAAATTAAATTATGTGCAACAATAGAGGTGTGTGAGCAAGGATTGAGTTCATTCTAATTAAGGAAGGCTAATCAATGTCTAATTTGGTTCTATTAACTTTACCTGCCCAAAAAGCTACGCGTACTAGTGGCTGTACAAGAATGTAACTCTCGTTCGCGTGTGTGTGTGTGTGTGTGTGTGTGTGTGTGTGTGTGTGTGTGTGGAGATTAATTAATATATTATATATATATAAATTTAACATTTTATATGGCTTTAGCAGTTGATTTAAGCATTAAATTATATCCAGGAATTCCATTTATCAATGTTTATGATTGAGCATTTCCCTTACAACACCCTATTGATGAAGGGGTATAAGAGTGAATTTTAACAATAATAATGTGTACTTTACCTGCCCCTGCTGCTCTAAGCGTCCAGCAGTAAGCGGGTTATTACCGCCGCTACCTCCACCACCGCCTCCACCACCGTCGCTTAGGCGCAGACGGTTCCGCAGCGGATATGATTTTAGTATCCCACCACCCCCAGGCGACTTTTCTGTGTCTTAATATGAAAAAGAATTACCTCCTGTTAATATTTAATAACAGGGTTAATTTACATATAATCAATAATTAAAAAATAATGACCAAATAACGACCCAAATGGCTTGCATATTAGGTGTGTCCCCCATCCCCTACACAACTGAACATGGATGCACATTGTCCTTTTCATGGTGTATGAATTAACAAAAACTTTCCCTCAGTATGTGCATGCATGTCACTTGTGCACATGCATTAGAAAGTCACTATGTGCATGTATGTGGGCATGCGCACACAATGTACATACAGTATACAAGTGGATTGGGAAAGTACCCAATAACAATAAATTTTGACACAATGGAGAAGTTATTCCAAAACTGAACCCGGTGTTCTATCAGACTTTTATAATTGTTTACATTTCTATTATAAAAGCTATTATTAAAGGTGCTCAATGAAATCACATTAAAGTGATGAATTGCAGAGAAAATTAGTAGGAATCCAAGAGGATGATTCAAACCCCAACACTTGGTACTCCCAAGCCCACACCCTAGACCACTACATGGTTAAAGTAATCGAACCTGGGACTCTACCAATTCGTCTAAGAGTCCTGAGCATTTGAACTCAAGTGATTGAGGTAGAACTACTGGACTATACCCAGAGTGCATGGGGACAAGGTGTGAACCCTTGATAGGGCTTCAGTGGAAGCCTCATGACCTCTAAAGGATTCCGTCAAATCCCAGGTGCCATTGCTTTCACTATGTCATGGTGTAGTTAGAGCATGGACTTTTGAAGTTACAAGTGTGCCGGTTTGAATCCTCCTCATGGTTCCTACTTATTTTCCCAACTATTGAAAGTGCCCTCATAAAACCTCATTACTGTTATTACTCTTCTCTCACTAAGGAGTTATTTCAAATAAATTACTACAAATTAGCATTCCAGTACTCCCTTACAATAACTCTCCAACTACTTTAACAACTGATAAGATTCAATGGCATTGTTCCCAAAGTATATGCATCATTAATACAAGTACAGTACTGGGAGCATGACAAGCATATTTAATCACCAATTGTTCACTATGTACTTTCAAAGTCTTGTATGTTTAATGATTACAATAAGACATTCACTACAATTCACATGATGTCTTAACGTCAACATTGACATTAATGCATGGTGGAACACTGCTGCACTGTAATGGGACTAAGAATATGGTCAAAATACTTACCAGCGTATTAAATACCAAAGGAAGTTACATAAAGCTTTTTTTTCTATTCACTGAAGCTGCATGCAGTAACTTCTATTTTATAAAAAGTCCCCATAAAAATGGAAATGTACTCATATGAATGATGCATGGGTTAGTTGGGTTTGATAACTTTAGGACATTAAAATGCAAAATCCTATTTTACTTAATGAAAGCCAAGGCATTTGTCCTTTTGAATAATTTTTGAATATTTAAAGACTTGTATACATTGAGCAATTTTGTGAATAGGGATCAACTAGTTTTGGTAGGAAGTAACAGCTGCTGACATGTATGAAAAATAGGTCAAGATGTACTAAAAAAATTATTTTCTTCATAAAGAATATGACCATTTAACAAAACCCAATGAAACTTTTCTTTGCCACAACTTTAGCATACAGGACAGACCAAATCATCACTACTTTCATTTCATTACATGTTTGGTTCAAATGATTGTTTCAAACAAGTTTGTTACCAATTCCCTGCACATAATGTGTTTAAACAAATACAGTACCAAATATGTAACTTGTTTGGAATTTAGGTCTGTACTGGATTTAACTGACAAGGTAAAGTTATGAAGTTTGGCACTTGTGTCTTTAAAAATCTGATTTCTCATTGCAAATTTATACTGAAAAAGCAAATGCTGTGTTACTTGCATCTGAACAATAATATTGCTTAATAACTAGAATCAAAATTTGTTCTTTAAATCCACATTTAAAAAAAACAATAAACAATTTCTAAGAAACATTAAATACATTGATATTTAATTTTTACTTATAGTGTTTGTTGTCCCAAATTTGTAGGTCAAAAATTAATTTGAACACTCCAGAAAGATTTTCTTTATTAATACTGTACTGTATTCTATATAGAGCCACATTTTGCTTTTGGTGAAACCTACAAAATGAAAATAGTTTGGGAATTTAATTTTTATGTTTTAAATTTTATCACTAAAGTCTCGGAGGGAATCATAAAGCAAACGGAATATTTGGAAGACATCGCAAACCCTCTCACTGCTGAATATTGACTGTCACATACTTGCCTCTACTGTACAGTCTACAATTCAAATATTTTAATTTTCAAATTTTTCTTTTATATTTATAGTAGGAAAATTATCATCTTCCCAAAGTATCAGTTTAAAGAAAAAAAGTTAAATGTAATGAAACACCATTATTTTGGGCGAGACCCAGAAGCTCCTTGGAGCTAAACCAGGCTGATGTGCATATGTTAGACCATGGCAACACTCAATCAATGGAGTTCTAGGCCTACTGGGGGACCAGCACCAGAATCTAGCACCCTCAGATGAGGTACGAGCAGCAATATCCTATAGACACCCCATGTAATTGGAAGCTGGCTGTTTGGCATCTACCAAGTCAGGCACCCAGAAAGGGAGGAATTAAAAAAAAAAAAAAAAAAAACACTACAGCTGGTTAGTAATTGCAAACCGAAAGCCGAACTAGCAAACCGAACTCCCCTTTCGGTTACTCCGAACCGAAACAAGTAAACAAGTAAATAAGCACGGCGTCGCTACAGTTGCCATGCTGCTGCTGCTGCACAACTCCTCCCTCCCTGGGAGGGGGAAGGGGGGTATCCAAGACCTCCCGTGCCAGCTAGCCAACCACAGTTTAAAGGCTGAATATAAAAAATGCAGGAAAAAAAAAAAAAAACTTTGAGGGGAGGGAGGGATGCCAGGGAGCCTTCAGGTCTCGCCAAGAAAATGGCATTTAATTACATTCAACGCTGGTTTTCTGTGGAGCCCCCCCCCCCTTTGGCTTCCCGGAGCTACCTAACCTAACGAAAAGAGGGACTTACTCGGGGAGGGTGGCCGCCACTCGATCCTAAACTCCAAGTCGAGACAACTGGGTGCAAGCTGCGACCCAAGGCTACACACACCCGAGAAGGACCAGGAACATGGAGTGAACTAGAGTGAACAATATGGAAGAAAATGAAGAATAGAAACATTGAAGAGCAGGGATGCCATAGGCACAATCAGAGAACACTATAAACATTAGAAATCCGCGGTTGTTCAACATCCTCCCAATGAGTAAGAAATATTGCCAGGACAACCATGGACATCTTCAAGAGAAAACTAGATAGTTTTCTCCAATAAATGCCGGACCAACCAGGATGCGGTGAGTATGTGGGTTTGTGGGCCGCTCCAAGCAACAGCCTGGTGGACCAAACTCTCAAGTCAAGCCTGGCCTCGGGCCAGGTTTGGGAAGCAGAAGAACTCCCAGAACCCCATCAACCAGGTTACCTGGTATGAATGAGGTACCGTGTAGCCAGGACCCTGTTCAACCTCCAAAAGCCAAGACTCGAATGTCAGCCCAGGACATAATACCAACAGGGCTACCCTCCCCCTGTTAAGTCTCCAAGCGAGCCAGGACTTCGAGCAACAACCGAACTGGTGGGAAGAGGTACAGGTAACCCCAGGTCGCCTAGTCCAGTCGAATGGCATCGACAGCAACAGCCTCACAGTCGGGAAAGGGCGCTGGAAGACACCTCAACCAAGCTGACACGAAGAGGTCCACATCTGGGCACCCAAAAGTCCAGCAGAGCCAATGGAACGAGTCATCTACCGTCCATTCCATGGACTTTGGAATGAAGCGGGACAGGCCGTCCACCAGTACGTTCGACACTCCCTGGACATGAGCCACCAAACCGAGAACTCAGCAGACGAGTCACCCTTAGTGACCAGCTCCAAAGAGGCAAAGACCGAATCGAACCCCCACAGTTCAGACAATAAACCACAGGGAAGCAGTCTGAATGGAGCCGGATTGTCGATCCGCCAGCAACTCAAACCCTTTGAAGCGAATGCCACACTGCCACCAACTCCCGCGCCGTGCTGTGACCTCAATGGAAGGATGAACCACACTTGACTCTGGCCGGCCTGTTGAGCACTGGCCACAAAGCCACAGCCGAGAGACGACACGTCCATGAACACATTGAGCGAGGGCTCGGGTAGGCATCATGGCACAGAACCTTAAAAAAAAAAAAAAAAAAGGAAGCCAGTGACACGACAGCCGACGCTAGGACTCCGGGGTTCGAACCTGGCAGAAGGGACGTTACCGAAGGAGCCAGAACGGCTGCCGAAGCCATATCCGACCCTACGAGTAGAAAAGCATGGCGAAGTTCAGACTCCCGCACAGCTGCTAGAACAACCAACGCGTGACCTGGGTGCCCTCTAAAAACAGCTGAAGACGGGACAGCAGGCGCAGCAATGCCGCAGGAGAGAGAGACAAGGAAGCGGTCCAAGAGTCCCACACAAGACCCAGCCAAGTCCGAACCCGAGAGGGAACCAAATGGGACTTCCTCCAGTTCACCAAGAATCTGCACCTGCCAAGCTGGAAAAGAACCAAATCCCCGGTGAGCAGACATGCAGACTGACTGGGAGCCCAGACCAGCCAACATGTTACCTGAACGCAACACGACGACGCATCGTCGAGGTAAGCCAGAACCCAAATGCCTAACAAACGCAAACAGGTCACCACAACCCGAGGTAAGGCATGTGAAAACGTGTAAGGCATGTCGTGGGGGGCCTGTCGCCCCCACGACAAAACCAAGCCAGCTGCTGAACCCCAGATAAATCGTGACGTGCCAACGGGTCCCGGAGGTCCAGGAACACCATCAAAGCACCCTGCCCCAAAAGCAGCCGGACCCAAGGACAGAGTGGTCATCCGAAAAGAGGGGGGCAAAAGACTCTGGTTCAGACAGGACAAGTCCAGAATGAACCACAGGTTCGCACAGTCCCGTTTCAAAACTGGAAACGGACAGGAAACCCACCTGAGAGAAAC